TGTGCCCTGGGGGTGGGGTTGGCATGGCATGCTGGGGATTGAACCTTGGCCGCTGCACTCTGTCTAAACAGGTGCTTTAGTCCACTGAGCTATCAGGCTGGCCCAATGATAGTATCATTTGGAAGAGCTTGGTAAATAAAAGCACTGGCAAAATTTGTTTTTATATTTAAAATCATACGAAGATTTGGAAGATGATTATATAAGGGCTCTCTTGATACTAGCTTGATCCATGAGTTTGTTTACACTTCAGGAATTGTCTTGATTTTTCTAATAAACTTAAGGCTGTACTAGACTGGGATGAATATGTTTTAAAACGTTGTAAACAGTGAATAAGTAAGTAAATAAGTAAGAGCAGTAGCACTAATAAGTATTGGTACTAATAAATACTCTGCACTGGTAAACCAATAAGTTCTTTTTATTTGTAAAATGACGTTAGCAACCCTGTTTTTCAGAACTGGAAGCTCATAAATGTCTTTTTTTTCCCTCCATCATGTTTAGGAAAACTCCTCCTTAATTTGGTAGATCATACTGAAGTGGTCAGAGATTTAACTTTTGCTCCAGATGGGAGCTTGATCCTGGTATCAGCTTCAAGAGACAAAACTCTCAGAGTGTGGGACCTAAAAGATGATGGTATGTTTTCATCGTGTGCTGTAAAAGATTGGCTTCTTGGTATCACTGTTGAGAGGTTTTGGAAATATCTTGGCATTAAACTTTAAAAGTGACATTTGATCAGAATTTCCTCTTCTGTTTAACTGTTTGATCCCTTTTTTATATAGATCAAATAAAATGAGCCAGGATGTGAGCCAGCAGTTACTATAAGTAAACAATCTGATACTATTCAGAAACTAACCACATAGATCTATGTCAGCTACTGGGACAAAATCTGGATCATTTTAGGGTTGTAGATGAACTGGTTTATTTATTTCCTTTATCCTATGGTTATTAACTTCCTGCATGTGCTTAGGAAAATTTAGATCTTAAAGCAACAAATTCAGGAATCTAATAAAATTTAGCCTAAAACAAGATTTTGTTCCAGAATTAATAACATTATAAATGCTAGTCAGCAGAAGCTAAGAAATTTTTATAAAATTTTTTTTACCTTTCAATACAATAGAATGTTATATTTATGTCAAATATTCTGCTTTTTCTAAAAGGTGTGTTCATGTCGAATAGTTCCATGATATTTGTGGGTTTTTTGTTTTTTTTTTCTTTTTCAGTACCAGGGATTGAACTCAGGGCCTTGTGCTTGCCAGGAAGGCACTTATGCCACTGATCTATCTCCCCAGCCCTACATGGTATTTGGGTTTTGTTTTTTTTTTTATTTTTTTT